GGGGATCTGTTCCTGGCTCGGCTGCCTGTCACTCGTCATGTCCGTCCCCTCGGAAGCCCGCCCGCTCCGCGCACTGCCTGGGTTTTTTAGTGGTCTTCTCGCCTGGTGTCCGCCTGTGCGCCCGTTTCGTGCCCGCCTCGCGCGCCGGCTCGTGTTCTTTAGGATCCACTGCGCTGGTTGCACCAGACGCATAGGCTGCACCGCATACATGCCCGTACGTGTATACAGGTACGTCGCTCGTGCGCGTGCACTTGTTCTCAGCGTGGACCATCGATGAGCATCCTGGACTATCTGGCGAAAATTACACGCAAGAAACGGACAACCATAACGGGGAATGACGTCCGAGCGATGACGATATATATATATATATATATATATATGTGTGTGCAGATGTACAAATCCAAGATGCACGACGTAGCTTGCACCGCGTAGATTGCACCCTTTGCGCTCAAGGAGTAGGCTCTCTACTAGCATCATCTCCCTCCCCGACCGCACCGCTCCCCCTGGGACTCTGCACGGTTCGTCCGACCCTACTCCACTGTTGATTTCCCACATGCAACCGAACCATCCCAGGCGACATGGAGGGGGAGGAGGAGGAGGAGGAGGAGGAGAAGGAGGAGGAGGAGGAGGCGCAGGATGTGCAGGTGCGCCTCCTGCTCCCGTCTTGGAGACTTGGAAGGGGGGGAAGGAGGCGCCCGCGGCCCCCAGGGGCGGGGAGCCTCCCTGCCTCTCGCCCCCACCTCAGCCCTGTCAAGTAACGCAACTCGCGCATCCGTGATCCGGTTTCACGATCCTCCCTTGCAGGCGATGCGACAAAGTCTGCACGCGCGTGCCGCCGCGCGCGCACGGCGAACACTCGCAGCAATTTGCTGGGTGGTTTTCGAAAACGACAGAAGTTGGCCTGCGTGCTGGCTGGCACCCGAAGAGATAACACCGTGGTTTAGCCATCTGTCGACACAGACCCTCCGGTCCACTCGCGAGCGCGCACGGAACACGTCCCACCACTGTCGCGTGCCCACCAACGCTGCCCAAGGGCGCTCTGCGAGCCACGCGCGCGCACGTCGAGATCATGTCGGGCCGCCCTCGTCGATTCCTGCGGGCGCGCACACTTTTCTGACCGTCCTCATCGGCACAATCGCCATCATCGTCGTCAGCGTCAGCCTTGCCATCGCCATCATCATGAGCATGTTTGTCTCCATCCTCCGCCCCATCGTCGGGATCGTCGCCGCCGCTGTCACTGTCGTCCTCGTCGGCGTCGTCGCCGTTGTCCACGTCATCGTGATGTCGCGCCCTCCCGAGTCACCGACCCGCGCAGAAGGGCCCCCGCTCGCTGGCACGGTCTCTGAAACGCGGTGAGAAGTCTTCGTTGTTATGCGCCACCACGGCCGCATCCTTTGTGCCAAGCCAGCTGGTCGATCTGCGCGGGAGCGGGTGCGCACTCGGTGCGGCCGCAGAGATGCGCCAACAAATTCCAATCGGCAACCGCCATCGTCGCCGAGTGGGTTTTGCTGCACCAATCGGTGGTGGGAGGGGGGGATGTGTGCGCGGGCGGTGGAGTTGACAAGTGCATCCTCGATTGGTGAACTGCATCGCGCAGTTTGCACAGCATGTGTTGCGCCCCAGACTGCACAGCATGGATTGCATTTCGCAGCTTGTACAAAATAGCCTGCACCAAATGCATTGCACTCCATAGACATCGCCGCATATATTGCTTTCCGCCAGCTTGCGCCACATGTTTTGCACCACCTTGCACCATTGCACCAAATATTTTGCGCCCCACGTGTTGCACCACACACAGACAATACACATCGAGAGCGCAGTGATCTACGGTTCGGAGTCCATGCATGCATAAGGGAGAGGAGCGGAAGAGGCGTGTCGAAGAAGACGCGTAAGATATGCGCACCCCCAACCAAGTGTCCGAGCTTCCCAGAAAAAGCTTCGCGAGCCGCTTCAAGAGTACCCAGCAGCGCCCGGGAGCGCCTGGAAATCTTGACCCTGCACCCTTCGAATAGCATTTACCGCATGTGTTAGAGAACTCGAACCGATATTCAGTGCCTGCGGAACGGTGGCGGACCTTGAGATCTGGGCTTCCGGTCGTGATTCGCCACGAAGTTGCATCTTGCTGCCGCGACGTTGGATCTGATGGGGTGAGGGAGGGGACGGAGGAGGCAAGGCGAGAAGGACGCGAAGGAGTAGGGCGCACCCCTTCCCCCCTGCTGCAGGCACCGACCTCGTCGCGTGCCCCGAGTACCCACCGTACGATGTGCCGGGCACCGAGGAGCTGTTGGGCTGGCCTCTGGTTGGGCGTCGTCGTCGGCGGCATCTTCACCAGCGCCGCCGTCGGCGTCGGCGTCGTCGGCGGCATCGTTTTTGGCGTCGGCGTCGTCGATCCCGTCGTCGCCGCTGTCGCCATCGTCCTTCTCAGCATTATCATAATCTTCATCCTTCCTTGTCTGCCTCCTCACTCCTCCCTCCTTCCATCCCTACCTTCTATTCCCCCCTCGCTCCTTCTCCTTTTTCTTTTCTGCTTCCTCCACTTTTCCTCTCCTCCTCCTCCTCCTCCTCCTCCTCCTCCTCCTACTCCTCCAGCCTGCCCCTCCTACCGCCCTCTCCCTCATCCTCCTCTCTGCTGCCCCTTCCCTCCTCCCCATCCTCGTTATAATCGTCGTCCTCAGCATCGTCAGGGAGGGCCGACCAGGCCAAGTTACGCCTCGGGATCTCAAAAGGCTCGGACATCCTTTACGGTACCATTCAGAGTGGTTTGGGATACGAGTTATCGATGGAGCAGGCTTGCTTAATTTTCTCATCTTCCCAGCTGTCGGCCAACATTCGTCTCCGAGCTGTGCGACCTATGCGGGGAACCAGCCAACTCGGCCATCAGTTGAGGCATCGCCGACACTTGCGGCAGGGTCCACCAATCAATCAAATATCCAACAAGTCTCGCCCCATCTCAATATGGTTGCCAGGGTCAAGCGGCACACGATGGTTGTTGGCCAGCGTGCTAAGTGCATCTTCGTGTGTTGGTCCCGTGCGTGGCTCGGTATACAGCTCAGAAGCTAGAGGTTGTTCAGACCACGAGCTTGTCGACACCCGTCATGTTCTTGGAGCTTCCTGCCAGCCGAGCTCTGGGCATCGTTCCTTCACCTCCTTCGCGGCTCTGGAAGAGGATCCCACATGGTGGGCAGTGCCAGCCCCGGCGTAGGGCGCGCAAGGGAGACCTGGGTAAACCAAGCCCACACGTACCCCTGTGCATCTCGTTCTAGGAGCTTCGTGGAGGACTGGGGGAGGTCTCGGGATCTGGAGCCTGGAGTACGGTTTGTGGCCCGCCTCCGGCCTCGAGAATGTCCTTCCACAGGCAAGATTTGCGCATGAGGACCTTCTTACCATCAATAACCGCCGACTTTGGAGTGGCCGTCCAGCCGACGTCGTGCTCCCCAGCCTTCGTCAAAAGGGCTTTGCAAGCCGCGGCGCTTCGGACTTTGGGGAACGCCTGCGCTGCCAGCCTGCTGGCAAAGGCCAAGCGCCTGTGTCATGACCAGGGCAGAGACGAGCTCGTCTCCAAGCGGCGCACTCTTCTGCAAAGCACACGAAGGCTTCTGTCGCGGGGCGGTTTGGGGCAGGCGGGTTGCCCAGTAGAGATGAGAACAGAAAGACAGCAGTCATTACAGCTTTTTCGTGCAAGTATTGAGGGCACATTGTTGCGCCGCTTGTGGTCACGCCCTGCTTGCCACCAGGAGCGTGAAGACATCGCGAATCACTGGAAACACAGCGGCCCAACCTTTCGGAACTCACTTTCTCCGATAAGGCAGAGTTGTGCGGTACTCAAACGCGGTGTCTCCGAGCATCCTGGAGATGAGTTACTGCGACTTGCGAGGGTGGGTGGTGCGGCCAGGGCGACAGGACTGACTCGACGTCGAAGCTCAAGACAATGCTTTATTTGACGGCTGTTGTCTCAGGAATGTGATTTCAGATGGTGGCCACTGTGGCGTATAATGATGACCAAGGGGTCTTGTGTTTTGGTAGCGCTCCAGTTTGGGCCTCAAATCGTCAGACCCCGCAAGCTGCCGAACTGTTCGCCATCTCGGCCGCGGGGCAAGTGCCCATTCCTGTATCCAACGGTTCCTCGGTTTGCCGTGGTGCGAATCCGCAATGATCGATGCCCTTGAGAGGGCAGCTCCTATACAAACGTCCTTGTAGAAAGAAGTTCGTTAACCTCCAGCTCGGTGGTGAAGGCCAAGGCCCATTATATGGGTGGCCCATGTGGCCACGGGCCTGTCTCCAGCTGGCCGTTCTTACAAGCAGGGCAGTGATGCTGCCCATTGGTCAGCCGTCGTCCCAGCCCTTCCCCAGCTACGGCTGAGAAACTCGACCGTGATCTGCGGATTTCGAAGCCGTGTTGCGCCTTGGCTGGCAAATTGAGGCTGCTCTGGCTGCACCTCGGACTCTCTGGGCCTACTTACGTCAAGATCTTTGCCCCATACCAGCCGTCACATGACGGTCATGTTTGAAGTCACGCGGGGAGATTATGGCAGCGCTAGCGTTGTTTCAGAGGTTCTCGGTGTATAGCCTTCGCCTGGAATCTTCCGCGTCGGTTTTGAGGTTGGCACCCAAGGTTTTGACATTCCGAGGTTTGCGAAACTCGTCCAAACCATGGTCTACATGAGTGTCAGCTTCAATGTTTTATCTTAACTTGCCGCTGCTGCACGTTTTCTGGATACGTTGTCTCCGAAGGAATGCAAACCTCTACCCCCGTAGGGAAAGAATTTGCGAAGACTGAAGTCTCCGCCATGACTGCCAACACCTACCTCCTACAAGGATCAGGGCAAACTTCGCTGATGGACGCCACCCAAAGATCCACGGTGACCGTTACAGTCGACGTCGGGCCATACAGTGCAGAGCTAAGGGGATGATCGCTGTTGCCACAGCAAGCGTTGGCGGAAGTGGTCCTTTGCCCACCCGCCTCTGTCTTGGCATTGTGTGTGTCGTGCAGTTTGTGTCGTGTGGCTTGCTTGCTCCGCCTCGTCGCTGCACGTGGGGCCGCGACCGCCACAACGTGTGTGTGTGTGTGTGTGTGTCGTGTAGTCTGATGTCTTCAAAATCTATCCTGCTCGTCCTCTTTGATTCTCCCTCCTCCTTCCTTCTCCCTCTCCGTCCTCCGACCTCCGGTTCCGGCAAACTGGTCGTGGACGAGGCCGGACTGCTGGGGGCACGCGCACCCCATCTGCGGTGGCCTGCGCCAGAGCCCGATGCACATTGACACCAGGCGAGTTTTCTCCTCGGGTTGCGGGGAGGAGGGACGAATGGCGGGAGCACAGTGACCAATGGGGGATGGACGATTGAAGAACGTGTAAGGGCGAGAGAATGAAGTAGGAGGGGCGAAGCTGGAATGTGGAAGGACAGGCGGGAAAGGAGGAGGGACAGAAGAGGCAGGACAGGAGGAGGGACGCAGGGGGAAGGATGAGAGGACTCGACTCCAGCCCCCTCCTCGTCGTCCTTCCCTTTCTCCTGCTCGTGGGGAGAAGGAGAGAGAGGATGGGAGCTTGATGAACATCTCGAGGTTCGTGTATTCATCAGGTGTTCCTCTCCTGATGGTCTTCCAGCACCTGTTCCTGCCCTTTATCTTCTTCCTCATCCGCCTCCTTCTCTTTTCCCTCGTCGGTTGTCTCCTGCCTACAGTACTCCTCATGCCCATCATGCTCCTCTTGTTCATTGCATTATCCTCTCTCCGCTAGGCTGCAGGCCGAGATGTGCCAGCCGAAGGGCAGTCCCGGGGAGAGCTCTGACGGCGAGCTCAACAAGAGCGTGGCGTACCACAAAATGAAGAATCCAACGACGAAAGAACCGGCGCTCCTCCTGCTCCTGCTAGGAAGTTGGATACACGTGGCGTGGCCGCTTGTCTTTCGAGCGCTCGGGCATAGTGCGGCCAGTTCCGCCGGCCCTCCGCATGTGTAGCCACCGCAGGGCTTCCAACTGTTCCACATGTGCAGCCATGTGTGTTTCCAGCTTCCTGGCACCATTTCTCCTGCCTGCACCCCTCCTCTCACAACCGTTCCGACCAATAATGTTCAAGTGGCTTTCGCCATTCCGCCGCCTCCCAGAAGAAGCGAGTGCTTGCGACGATCTTGGAAGTTATCTGGTGGGTCAGGAGCGTCTTGGATGCATTTGAGGGGCTCGTGGGATGCCTTTCAGGGGCCTCTTGGAGGGCTCCTAGAGGCATCTAGGATGCCTGTTGGGCCTTCTCTGGGGCCGTCCGTCACAAAACAGAGTGGTGATCTGTGTGCGCGGCTGGTTCCCCTTCCTGTATATATAATCGATCATACGTCGTTTCGGTTTCCGCCGCTCCTTGTTCTTCCTCCTTCTCACCCCATTGAGCTCCTCCAACGTACAGTCCTCATGCTCCCACCTCCGCCTTATCCTAGTGTCCTCTTCACGTCGCGTCACATACAGAACAGTTGCACCAAGGTTACCGCCGGTGGACTCGTAGAGTTTCTGCCCGAGCACAGAAGCCTTTATATAATTGCGCTGAATAAGGCTGCAGACTTTCCTTTCGACGCTGCTGCATTGGTTGCTGCATTCGAGAACTCGAGACAACAGAAGGACTTCGCAAAGCAGTAGAACAATTGCAAAGTGAGATCGGTGATTCGATGATAGCTCGATCGCAGACCGAACTCAAGCCTCTGGAAGTGGGAGAGCGCAGCTACGGGTCGTCCCCGCGCGCACAAGCAGGCAGGGTCCTGAACCCACACTGCATCTCGAGATTTCGGCCAACAGATAGCCGAATAAAATAAAAGCGGCTGCTGATCAATCGTAGTTTCCGAAGGTCGACCATTCGACCGACTTCAGGCTTCCCAAGGATGTAGATTGGTGTTGTCGACGCTGCTGAAACGATTGTTGCATTGGAGAGCTCGGTAGCTGCTCCAAACCTGGAAATTTAACAGAATGACCGCGGAAAGCAGCAAAACATTTGCAGTGTGAGATCGGTGCTCGACAATAGCTCGAAATGCAGACCGAGCTCAGATCTCTGCGAGTGGGCAGCCGAAGACACTGGTCGTACCCGCGTGCGCGAACAGGAAGAGCTCTGAGCTCACTCTGGATCTCGAGATTTCAGTCCACAACTATTCGATTGAGCAAAAGAACTTGCACAGTGATACTTGTTTGCGAAGACAACCCGAGTAGGACCGACATCTCGTCTCTCGAGGGTGGGGCGTGGTGCTGTCGACGCTGATAAACCGATTGGTGCAATCGGCAGCTCTGTAGCTGCTCGAAATCTCGAAATGTAGCAGAACGACGCACAAAGCAGCAGCACAGCTGCAACGTAAGTTTCGTGTTTCAGATGACAGCTCGAGTAGCGAACCAAATTCTGGTTTTCGGATGTGAGAGAAAGACGCGGCTGGTCGTGCACGCGTGCGCGAACAGGCCGCGTCCTGAACACTCGGAATCTCAAGAGTTAGGCCAAAAGCTATTCGGTAGAGCAACAAGGGCTGCAGTGTGAGATTAGCTGTTCGAAGATAGCTCGAATAGTAGCCCGATCTCAGATATGTGGAGTCTTTATGTTCTAGTTTTCGAGGCTGCGGAAGCCGTCGATGCCATCGAGAGCTCTGCAGCTGCTCTAAATCTCGAGATCAGGTCGGCGAGCCGAACGAGCGCAACAAACATGAGTTCCATGGCGAAGTGCACCCTATGAGTTTTCCCCCTTCAAAATGCTCCGACCGAGCTGATATTAGTATCGGGAGCGCGTCTAAGAAAAGTCTTTAGGAGAAAAGGCTAAACAAGTCAGTTCGTATCCTCCTTCTTGGACCCCTCTTAGGGCCCTCTTGGGGCTCTCTTGGGCCGTCTGGGGGGGGCCCTTCGGCCGTCTTGGGACTTTCTTAGGCCGTCATGGGGCTCTCATTGGGGCCTCATTGGCCTTCTTGGGACGATCTTGGGAAACCCTTGGGCCTTTTTTGACGGCGTCAGGATGAAGAAGGCGAGTCTGCTAGAAATTTGCATTTGCCGATGGGAATGTTACGATGTTCGCTTCCCGGGGCCCTCCCGGCGGTCCTCTGGGAGCACTCTTGGGCCATTTTGGGCGCCTCGTGGGCCGTCTCAACGAGATTTAGGGTCGTCGTGGAGCTACCTTGGACCTTCGGTGATCTTCAAACTTTCTTGGGCTGTTGCGGTGCTTTTTGGGGCATTCTGTTTTGGACCTCATTGCGCAGTCTTGGGGTTCCGGAGAGGCTCTATGAGCTCGCCCCCCGTCGCCCCCTCCCCCCCCCACCACCACCTCAAATATCGGGGGAGGACAGAACCCCCAACAGTGACACGTCGATTAGTGAATTGTCCGTTTTCGGTTCTCGAGAGGGCGCCGTGGCCGTTATTTTCCAGGCTTTCGCCCGCCAGGTTTGGGCCTCAGGTCGTTTCCACTAAACCACGTTTTACTAAAGGGGAATCTGTCCATCCCCGAAAATAGCATTTTGGACCCAAGGGCAGGGGGGAAGGGGAAGGGGGACGACAGCATGTCTCCCACGCCCTATCACCCCCGGCGAGCGGGGGCCGGCGGATGCCTCGGGCGCCCCCCGCGCATCCGGCAGCGGTTCCTGCTTCTCCTCCATCGCCGCCTGCTCGTCCTCTTCCTTTACCGTCAGTTTTCCTCCTCCTCCTCCTCTTCCTCCTCTTTCCACCCCTCCATCTGATTTTCCCCCTCATCTTCTTCAACGTCTCCCCTTTCTCTTCGTCCTCCTCCTCCTCCTCCCCCTCCTACTCCTCCTCCCTGTTGCTGCTTCACCGTCAACAAGCCTCCCTTTCTACTGATCCTCTAAACTGCTTCTTCCTATCATCCTTCCTCCATCTTCCTGTCTCGCCGCTCTTCATCTTTGCCGCCACTCCTCCCTCGTTCCCCTTGAACCTTCATCCTTCTGTCCCTCCTCTTTCGTCCTCGGCCCTTCTTCCTCTGTCCTCCTTCTTCGGTCATCCTCCCGCCTTCCTCGGTAACATGTTCTCCTGCTACCCTTTTACCTCTTCTTGTTCCTCCGTTGTCGGTCCTCCCTCCTCTGCCATCCTTCCTCGATAATCTTGCCTCCCTCTCCACTCTCCCTTGCTAACTCCGTGTCTCCCTCTTCTCCACCCGCATCCCTCTCTCCCCCCTTCCTCCTTGCTCTCCTCCTCTTCATCTTCCCCTCATCCTCCTCCGAACCCTCCTCTCCTTCCGGTGTCAAGCGTCCTAGTTGAAATCAGCGCGTACTGGGGCACCGCGGGGGTATCCGGCTACTTTGGAGACCTGACGGCCTTGAACGGCGACCGGTGGCAGGCAGTGCAAGTGCAAGTCACGGTGCCAGGGGTCCACAGGATTCTGGGACGCCGAGAAGTTGGTTACATGCTCTGTTGTGTTGTGTTGCTCTGATCTTCTTCGCCCGAACAAGCGACATGGACACGGGGCTCCAATCTGGAGAAAGTTTCCGAACGTACGGGCGCATTGGGTGACATTGTCTGGCGTTGTTTGGCGTATTGCTTGGCATTGCCTGATATTGCTTGGCACTTCCTGGCGTTGCCTGGCATTGCACGGCAATGGTTGGCTTTTACTTGGATTATATGGCATTGTTGTGCATTGCTTGGCATTGCCTGGCATTGCTTAGCATTGCGTGGGAACCCAGAAACCAAGCCGAAGGAACCAAGGCACCAAGACCAAGGAGCCAATGAACCAAAGGCAAGGCGCCACGCCATCAAGGTCACAGAGTCAAGACCAAGGAATCAAGGAGACAAGACCAAGGAACCAGGGAACCAAGATCAAGGAACTAAGAAACCAAGACCAACGAGCCACGGAACCAAGGACAAGGCACCACATAACCAAGATCAAGGAAGCAATGAATCAAGTTCAAGTAATCAAGACCAAGGAACCAAGACCAAGGAGCCAACGAACAAAGGAATCAGGACCAAGGAACCAAGGAACCAAGAGACCAAGACCAAGGAACCAAGGAGCCAAGGTCAAGGCACCACGAAACAAAGGCCAAGGAATTTCAGGAACCAATGAACGAAGAAATCGAGGCATCAAGACGAAGACAAGCAAGGCCAATGAATCGAGGAACCAAGGAGTCAAGACCACGGAACCACGCAACCAAGGCCAAGGAACCCAAGAAGAGCAGCAGGGAACCACGACCGAGGAGCCAAGGAACCAAGACCGGGGAACCCAGAACGCGGCCGACCATCGCAGACCAGGCACCCACCGGATGTCCAAAAGCGGGCGAAGCCGTTAGCCAAATCCCAGGTGGGGAACGAGGGCTGACCAACATGAGGACCACGAGGTCCAGGAGGTCCAGGCACAGAATCCCCATGCCAGGACACAATCGACACAAGGTGGAGTGGATGCTGCCGATGCCTGGGCGCAGCCGAAAAGCATACAATGAACCCAGCGCGACCCCACTGAGAGGAAAGTTTCCTATTGCATGGGCGCAGTGCTTGGCATTGCTCGGCATCGGTTGGTATTAGTTGGCATTGCTTGGCATTGCTCTTGGCATTGCTTGGCATTGCTTGGCATTGCTTGGGATCGCTTGGCATTGATTGGCATCGCTTGGTATTGCTTGGCATGGCTTGGCTTTGTTTGGCATTGCTTGACACTCCTGGGCATTGCTTGGCGTTGCTTGGTATTGCTTGGCGTTGCTTGTCATTGCTTCGCACTGTTTCACATTATCGGCATCGCTTGGCATCACTTGGCATTGTTTGGCATTGCTTCGCGTTACTTGGCATTGCTTCGAATTGCTTCACATTGTTTGGCAGTGCTTGACATCTCTTGGTATCGCTTGGTGTTCCTTGGCATTGCTTGGCATTGCTTGGCGTCGCTTGGCATTGATTAGCATTTCTTGGCATTTCTTGGCATTGCTTGGCATTGCTGGGCAGTGCGTGGCATTGCTTCACATTGCTTGGCATTGCTTTACATTGCTTGTCATTGCTTGGTGTTGCTTGGCATTGCTTGGCATTATTCGGCACCGCTTGGCATTGCTTGGCATCGCTTGGCATTGATCGGGATTGCTTGGCATTGCTCGGCATCGCTTGGCATAACTTTGCATTTCTGGCGTTGCTTGGCATTGCCTGGCATTGCTTGGCATTGCTGGGCATAGTCTTGGCATTCCTGGCCACTTATTGGCATTGCTTGGCATTGGGAGGAGAAACCGAACCCGGAGAACCCGAAAAACCAGAGGAACCCGAGGAACCCGAGGAACCCGAGGGTCCCCGAGGAACCAGGGGAATCCAAGGAATCCGAGGAACCTGAGGAGCCCGGGGAACCTCCGAGGAACGGGCAAAGTAGCTTCCCGAGGCACCAACCTTTATTCAAGTAAGAACCCTTTAGGCAAGCGTAATTGGGGAAACACGTGGACGTCGTTTCTTATCCGTTGTGTTGAAGAGTGTTGTGGCTTGAGAAGGGTCTCTCTGTGTTCTCTTGGACCCCTGGCGCTTCCTGGACGGCCAATCGACAAACTCTACTTCAGGGACGTACCCAACCCACATACTCGTGGCCATGACAGTCGGCACATCAACAACAAGAGACAGTTTCAAGACAAGGGCATGCCTTACTTTTGAAACCCATATAGCGAAAACCCGCGCTGATGCATCGTTACACGAAAGAGTGGCGGCCTCCTGATGAATGCTGGCAGCCTTGTGGATTTCTTCGGGGCTCAGGTCGCGAATTGGAGGATGAGGAGGAGGAGGAGGAGGAGGAGGAAGACAAGGAGGATAATCACGGGTGAGAGGAGGGGGACGAGGAAGAGGAGGAAGAATATGAGGAGGAGGGGCAGGAGTCGAAGGGGGATTAAGGAACATAACGAGGAACATGAGGGAGGGGGGGAGACGGAGGAGTGGAATGTGGCGCAGGACGGTGGCGACAGTCTCACGCCTGGCAGAGCCCTGTGAGGACGAGGTCCCATTCGGATCTTTGTGCATCTGACTCCGTTCGACCCCCGAGGGGGCGCAGGACAGCGACGACGGTCATGCGCCTGGCTTCACCACGGGGGCGCGAGGTTTCACCTCGGTCCCCGTATGCCGCTTTTTACCACCACCTCCTCCTCCTCCTCATCCTCCTCCTCCACCGTAGCCATTTTGGCTCAAGATGTTTGTGCCCCGTGGCAGAGCACGGAGACCCTTGGTCCGGGGACTGCTAGGACCGCTGCTTTCCGCCTTCGCCGTGCCCGCGGCGTTGGGCATCTCCATATCCTTTGCTGCCGAGGCGCAGCTTACATATCTCTCGCCACCAGCGCTGGCCTCGCGCACGATTGCCTCGCGATGGGTGTGCCTGGTGTCGCCAGCTCCGCCGACTCCGGGGCCGACTACTCCGACAAGGGCAAGGGCAAGGGCAAGGACACTGCTGCTGCCGACCCCTGGGCCGCTGGAGCTCAGAAGCTTGCCGCGATCGACCTCCCTGCACATCAGAGGAAGGTGCTCACCGATCTCCGCCAGACCCAGGTCGACAAAGCCGCCGCCGCCTTCGAAGCCACATCCAAGCAAGTTGCAGCTGCTGCACAAGCTGAATTCCTGGCCAACATCACGAAGATCACCGAACAGCTCAGCAACCGCCAGGAGTCCGCCGAGAGGGATATTGCCGAATTCAAAGGCCGTGCTGACCGTGCTGAACGCCTCCAAGGCGAACCCAAGGCCAGCGTGGACGCCCTACAGCAAGCTCTTCGTCATGCCGAAGCTCTCCACCCAGCCATGGACTTGGACGCCCTGGGTGCCTGGGACCGCCCACCGAATGCTGCAACCTTCTGGTGTGGGGCTGCCTCAGACTTCTCCGTCGCCTCGCTCAAGACTGCGCTGGCCTCCTGGTTCGAAGCCGCCGACGTGGACATCAATGCGCTCCGCATCAACTCAGAGGGCCCTGCACGGATAATTTCGTTCACTCTCATTGGCGGCAACTCGATTGCTCTCCCGCGAGCCCAAGCTCTACACCGCGCACTTCGACAAGGTCGTGAATGGCGACGCTTCCAGGTGGAATCGGACTCTGGACCCACTGCCCTCTACGTCTCCGCGGACAAGTCGCCGCGCATGGTCCGCCAAGAAGTTCAACCCAAAAAGCCCAACAAGCTCATCAATGACAAGTTCCCCGCGCTCGAGACTCGGGTTCACCGCGCTGGAGGCTCCCTGTCCATCGACGGCGCTGCCATCGTCCAGGTCACAGCTGGCGCCACTCCTGATGCAGCCACCCAAGTTCGCTGGTCCGACGCTGCTGCCCCCGCTGGCACCCCTACCACCGAGCATGTGTCATTGGCTACCGCGCTGGCCGCCGCATGCGCCAACCCACTGGAGGCAGCACGGTGGCTTTAGTATACGATGGTCGCCGTGGTTCACGAAACCACACGTCGACGGCCTCAACTTGGCCTCGTGGAGTGCACAGGCACTCAATGGCAGATCGGCATCAAGGCGGGCCCTCAAGCGACAGCTGCTGCTCCGTTACATGCGGCAACGAGCGGTCATCGCCATCCTAGAGGCGCACGGCAACGGCATCGACATGGACCTCCTGGCCGCGGGCTCCGACCACAAGTACGTCGCCTTCCACTCAGCGCTCGTGACTGACGGCCAACCCTCGGAGACCGCAGGCGGAATCGCCTTCCTGGTTCCTTATGATCGAGCTGAACTCCAACTGCCACCTGATCAACGGCCTCTACGTTCATTTCGCGCGACCGTCCCTGGCCGCATTGGTGAGCTACGCATTCAAGACGGGACAAGACAGCATGAGACAACAATCTTCAACATTCACAACTACGACCTCAGCGGATCTGACCGTCAGCGCTTCAAGGCTGCGTGGCAAGCAGCTGCTCAACGCTCAGCCCTCCACCCAGACAACCACGACTACTACATGATTGGCGACTTCAATATCGCCCAGACGCCGCCGAAGAGCCTGCTCCACCCCACCGCGGACTCCACGGCCGAGCGCTACCACTACCAGCCTGTCTTCTGGAAGAACATCTTCTCACAGATGATGGAGATCACTGCGAAGGCCACCGCTCACCGATGCGTGGCCAACATGACGGAGGCGACCATCGACAGATGCTTCGCATCGATCAGCGCGTCCAACATCCCGCACATCGAGACGCACTTCTTGTTGCCGATGGCCGACCGCTCGACCGAGAAGGGGAGCCCATCAGCGATCGCAAGATTCTTTAGGCTTGCGCCGCACCGCCGACCCCTTGTTGTGGATGTTGCACGGGGGACCTTACGCACGGAGCAGAAGCCCCGTGCACATTTGAAGCAGAAGCAAGTGGAACATCATCGAGCGGCGCAAGGAGTTAAAGTGGCGTGCAGAAGCTGCGAGGAACTCGGGTTTACAGCGCGCAGTTGCCAGGCTTATTAGTGCAGCGGCG